TTTATCAATTAGTAACGTGCTCATATGTGTGTGTGTGTGAATGCATATAGTTATTTATGGAATTTGGCTTCTTTTCAAAAGAATATCACCATGTATACATTTGGCATACGATGTCTTTATTTAGGTATGCAGGTCATCGATTTACCCTTTCTTGAATAAAAATTAGAAAACCATCGTTTCATTATCCCTTTGCATCGACATTACCTTTTATCTAACTGTTTTCCTGCTTTTTCGAAACGTTCGTTTAAGAATCAATTCACTCACCTTTAAATCACGTGAATCCTTTTCTGTGTATAGAAAAATTTACACCAATTCATAATTGAATTATTATTATTATTACCATGTAGTTACTATGTCAACAGTAATTAGTGCAACCATCATCAACATCATTTAACACAATAACTCCTTTACTAGAAATGAAAAATAAAGCTGCTTTTTTGCTGAAAAATGAAACATGTTGCTGTCTTATATAAAACTAACTTTCAGATTACAGTAGTTTTAATGTTTACAAGGATTTTATTTTTAAGTTAATATTCATCATGGACTGATATGGGTTGAAGAGTCATTGAAAACCGTCTACTGGAAAGCTATTTCGTCCTAGTAGGGGACACTTCTCAGCCGTTCATACCCATGACTCCGCCAGACGTCTACCTTAAGACCTTCAGGTTTTCAGGTGAGTGCTTCCAGGTTGCTGTTAACACTGCTTAGAAAGGTAAACAGTTTTTTTTTGAGAAGGTAGACACGTGATCAGATGATAATAGAGATGTACTGTACATTCACATTCGTTATTCTCCTAGACAATACGATGTTTACTGGAAAAGGAATAAGGGAAAGAGGTTTCAGTGTTGCATAATTACAGTTCCATAGTAAACTACAGTTTTTTTGGTTATTTATGTGATCCGTTATTAAAAAGTGTATTTCAGTACTGTAAGTACTATAACTGGAGTAGATTTATTCAATCTCTGTTCCTTGTTGACTGGTATACAAAAAGCAGTTGATTAGCATTTCAGTTGTTATCCAAACTTGTTATCAATGCCTTTCTTGTATGACTATCTGAGTGTACCCAATCAAATTGTGGTTTAGTACCTGATCATTGAACAGAAAAAACTTTTCTTTACATGTTTATGAATTTTATGCTGAAAATGATATTCTTGTTTGCATTCCACACTACGTCTTTTTATTGGATATGCCACCCATTGATACAGGATAATTTATTTGATGATATTTCGAGCAGAAATTATTGCTCATAATCATATGAATGGATCCATACAGCTTTCGACATCTGATTTTATACCCCTATCACCTCATATTTTGTATGATAATTTTCTTGGTTGTGGCTAGTAGAGGAATTAGGTAGACGCGTTTAGTTCCATTTCGGACTCATCAGCTGAATGTTGTTGGTGTTGTTCCAACTGAGACTCGAACCCCGTACCCATTGCTTCAAACACCAAAGCGTTGTCCAATAGGCCATGATTTGATCCAGTAAAACAATGGAGAATTTCAAGCATATCAGTCAATAGTAAATGCTAATATCCGTTGTACAAGAGGTAACTACTGTGTTTCAGTGGCCTAGTGGATAATGTCTTGGTGTTTGAGGCGATGAGTACGACTTCCGAGTCTCAGTGAGGATATCATCACTCACTGGGGTGCAGGTACGTGCAGCTGACGAATCTCAAATGTGACGAAACACGTGTCCTGGATCCGTCTGCTAGCCATGACCAAGTAAACCATCATAATTAATATTCAGGGAATATCGAGGCATCCATAAGGAGCTTATATACCAATAGAACTCATATTTCTCTAGTGGTAGTAAAATTTTACAATTCTCTGGTGTATATGTGTTGCATCATCCCTGTTATATGTATTGAGTGTTGATTCGATGAACAAAGGCTCAGTAATCAGTGACTCTTTCTCTCTCTCCATCTGACTGATTTGAGACATGGTTTTATCCTATCCTATTGTGTGGTTATGTGTTAATGCCTGGATTGCAACAGCTGAGCTTTATTTCTATTGTTAATCCTATTGTGATCTGTCATTTTACACTTGGTTAAATTTCTATGTTCCAATAATCTTACTAACCTCGATCAGCCAGTTAGTCCTATGTACTTGAACTAACAGTTATTACATGAAGTTTGGTAGATCAAATTATTTTGTTTAATTAGGTGTACCGGATCTTTAAGCCAACAAAGCTTATATCTGAATGAGTTTGTAGATAGAAATACTATCCTAATTTCATCCTTGTTGAGAATTCTACGTAAAGTTTCTAATGTTCCTTTCCAATACTCCTTTCTACTCAGGTTTCCTCTTTATTCTTATTCATACTGGTGTTATTATTTCGTTTCTTATGTGTTTGTAGGAATTTTTTAGTAAACTGTAAAGAATAATTATTAAGTTTTATTTTCTATGTTTTAATTCCTTGTGTGAGTCCTTGCAATGACTATTGAGCTTTTCAACTGCATCGCCTATACATTTGACTAAACCCACCTTAACTGATATTGGATAAGATGACCTGAAGTCTAGATACCTGTTAGAATATTTTGATTTCCTGTAGATTCTAGTATCTAAATCCCCGTCTATTCTTCGTTTTACTTTGTTATCCAACATAACTAATTCGCTTTGTTCATTTTCTATCTCGTAAGTGAATTGGATTGTATCTACTACTGAGTTTATTTATGTGAAGAAATTATTGATATAGTTCCTATTTCAACGCAGTGAATGTGTCATGCGTATATGAGAATGAGAGGCTTTGAATTGGTTTCAACTCACTCCTGAATACTGACACAAACCGATAAGAACTGTCAGTATATGTGTACATGCAAACCTCAGTCGACAGTTCATACACTCATCATACTTAACACATTACATTACACATTACAGTTTGTCAACGCAAAATCATCCATCCAAAAAAAAACAAATTCAGTTATCATTTATAAGCTTGGATATTGTACTGTTTGATTAACTGTAACTTTGATCAGAATATAAGCAATAAATAGAGAAACGTCAGCTGAAACAATCATGTTTTTGTTTCACATTCACTGGAATACACAAATATCATATTATATTATCATTATATAACCGTTGGGTTCCTAGTGGAAGATAGGGCTTCAGTAGCATGCCTCCATTTCATTCTCTTCTCTCCAGTCTTTTCAACCTGGCGCCATGACTGCCCACAAGCTTTCATTTCTTCCTCACACGATTTCCATGTCACCCTCGCCTCTGACGCCCAACTCGTCGTTTCCCCTTTGGGTTCCACTCAAAGGTCTGATATGGTGCGTGGTGTCCCCAGTCGGCCGTCTCAATGTATGCCCAATCCATCTCCATTTTGTTCTTCTGCATATTTGTTGGGTGATAGGTTCTTGGTTGCTTCATTGCCAGACCAGAGTTCCTTGTTGCTTATTCTTTCTGGCTATCTCATCTGATCTTCAATATCAAGCGAGTATATTGTCAAATTTATAAACAGTTGACTTTTGCCTTTATTAATCATTTAACCCAGTTATTTTTCATATTTCAATGGAAATAAACTTAATATAGAGAAAAGTGGAGAAATCTGTTTTCCATTTCATACTCACCATGAAATAGAGACGATTTTCTTAGTTATTCCACAAATCTCTGGTTGATTTCTCCCTCGTAAACTTCTATATTATATTTCTGTATTTCTATAGTTATGGATATGCATTGAGATCTATATTAATGTTGGTTTTTGGAAGGCGATCGGTAGTTAAAGAAAGTTGAACATAGATTTTTTGCTTGTTTGGAATCATCGACCCTTTTTTTCACGGAAAATTGTTTGTTGACTGAAGTCGACAGCGATGTTGTTTTTATTATTATTTTTCCCTTGGGTTCCTAGTGGAACATTAGGCTTCAGTAGCACACCTCCATTGCACTCTGTTCTCTGTAGTCTTTTGAAGCTGGCACCACGACTGCCCCGATGCTGTTTAGTCGAGTAATAATAATAATGATAATCGCTTTATTCTAAACAATATGTATGACATTGTGGAATTATCAGCATGTAGTTTTTCAACAAATTCACTCCCAGAACAATACTTTCAGATGAAATAGTTACTGGATCTGAATGGTTTCAATAGTAACAGTATTGAAGGCAATAATGTGAAATAGTCAGCTAATTATGCATGGACATCTGGTCCATAATGAGGAATCAACAGAAATGCAAGCATAATTTTGGTGGTGGAGGTTCATTCAACCAGTACAAAAATTTGTAATTCAAGCTAAGCATCTGACGAACAGAAATATGATGTACTTTTGTGCACTGGAACGTCCACTTCCATATAACAGAACATTTCTTGTCTGCTTTGTGATAGGCTCGGGAAACGGAAAGTTGACAACAGTTTTAAAATGTGCAAGAGTACATGGTCCGTTCAAAGGACATATTTATATGATTAAAACAAATTGAAAGGGAAGAATTTGGTGAAAAATATTTGGTGGATAATTTTGGTAACTCAAGGTTCAAGCAGGCCACCGTACGAATGTGTTGGTCAACTATGTTAGGTTACAATGATTTCGCTAGCCGGTAACTAGGTATTACTGTTTTTTTATGGTGAATATGGGTGGTGACTAACATTGAAGTTCAGTACTTACGTTTCGTCCTATTTGGGATTCGTTATCTGGGTAATCTGCCTCCCAGTGATGGTGTTTCCCCTGAAACTCAAACGCAATACCCTTCACTTCAGTAGTCTAGGTTTCCTAGTTACGATAATCAGTCCTTACGTGATGCGCTTAGTTAGATATTAGGACTTGTTATTTCCTGGTGTTGATTGGCCTGAATCTTTTTTGGCGTATGAACTCTTGGGTGGATTTCTCAATATGGCCGGTGATTTCACTTTGTTACTTATTGTTGTTTTTATCACTGAATGATCAGTCATAAGTGATTATATTTCTTTGATCAAGTAAATGTTTGGCGTCAAACATCATCAACTTTTCTACTTAACACCACCTCCTACGATGGTAGTAATGTGATTTGGTTTTTTCCCTCTTTTAAACAGATAAAAACAATTGATAATTATTCAACCTGTCAGCCACATGCAACTTCCCATACCAGACTGAAATCTGCATATGCTGATCAAGGATTGGTAATCCTAATTGACTGTTTCAAGTTTGGTCGAAGAGGGTGAGTTAAATATGTGGGAATTATACCAAATTCTTTGATATCACGCATATTTGAGTTTTTGATGTATGATGTATCATTTGTATTACAAAAACAGAATGGAATCAGTCAGCTAGTCAGTCAATATCAACATGGGACCTGGTAATGCTGTACAAGTGTTTCAGCCGTCACATTTCACATCAACACATCATGATGTGTATATAAAACTGTCAAGTTGTCCTGATATCTAAGATGTTTAGAAAATGTCGACAAATTGTAGTCACGTAGTTGTTGTAAAGCTTTCTCATTGGCCTAAGCATTCGACCACTGATCATTGGATCATGTGTTTGAATCCACTTCACCTAATTACTGCATAGGTGACGGAGTAACAGTGCAAACGCTTAAACATTAGATGTGATTTATAGCTTAGTACATAGACTCTAACCAGAATGGCATCGCTAAATTCATATGAGAGCCGCCTACATATTGTCTACTAAAGTTTACTGATTTTATCGAAGAAACCAACTTTAGTACGAGGTTTGAAGTAATCGAATGAAAGATAATAAGTATGCAAACGATGCTAACGTGATGAGACACTTGGTCTGGATACGACTAATGACTGTTCTTCCTCAGAACCGAATATTTCACTGTTCTGTGAAAATCAGAAAGCAAAAGACCGACCTGTTACGGGAAGGGAGACAATGTATTTGACATAAAAACTCAGCATATAGGTACAGTTTTCATGAGCATATATGACTTGCAGATAAAACGTTGGATATTTATTTTTATTGGTCAATTGCAGGACAACACTGTCCAATAAGGTTTTTCCTGACCATACAGTGACAGGAAAAAGAAAAATTGGAATTTACAACTACTATCTTAGTGAATGATGACTTAAAATGTTGATTTCTGTTTAGGCCGCTTTTTATCAAGTTTGCAGGCTAATATTTTCTTAAAATGAAATATTTGAGTACTTACTGTATGTTGAGTATTATTCCACTCTTGGTAGTAATGCAAACTTTTGCAGGTGGATAAAATAATAGTTCTATTGAAAAAGTTCATTTAATTAGTATTCAGCAATTCGACCCAGTATATCAACGAGAAATTACAAGTATCAATAAACAGCAATTAATACCCGTTGCACACGAGGTGATTCTCGTGATCCATTGGGCTAGTGGATAACCCCTTGGTGTTTGAAGCGATGGGTAATGGGTTCGAGTCTCAATGGGAACAAAATCACTCCACACTGGGGTGTAGGTACATCCAACTGACGAGTTAGTCACAAACAAAATAAAACGCCCCTCCTGGATTCCACTGCTATCCATCAAATAGGTGATCATACCTTATATGGAGTGTTTTAAGATATCGACTAATGTTTTAAAGGACAGGATAACCTAATAATTCACGACATAAAGGAAGTTCAAGTAATAAACTCAGTGAAGTTACACATGGGTTATATGAGGTAAGGAATGAGGAGTGTTTATGTATGAGTGGGATAAGATTAGAGGTAAGTAGAATGGGTAGCCTAATTATGTGAAAATATTATATTAACAAAATGATAACTGAGTGAGATAAAATTGTCGTGAAATAATAACAAATGCAATAACAATGAAATGATAATCCATATGAACATGGACATGAATAAAATAAATTTATTAGAATATTTTTGGAGCGATGCTGAGCTTCCTAGCTTGGTTGCCATATTGCAAATATGATCGATAGAATTCGATCTGCACTCAGGACTAGACAACATGAAATTGGTTGCACTCCTGTGACCAATCAATACATGTAAGCCAGTCCTACAGAAAGTCAGTTGCGGCCCGAATGGCTCAGCGGTAAAGTCGCTGACTGCAACACTGGGTGATGCGGGTTCGAATCTCAGGCGGGATATCAGTTTCATCGAGGTTGCAGATACGCCTTGCTGACGAGTGCCAAAAAGCACGAAACCTGGGTCCAGGGCAAACGGTGTTCTCACCACGATATTCAAGTTCATAAAGGGAACTAAATGCAGGAAATTGATGGTTTAATTGTCTGCAGTACCACGTTATTCCCGTTATTCGTATCATTACTAAGGTAGGTACTAGCATTATTATTATTATATTTTGAGGTGAATGTGGATTTTGATTGTCATCACAAAATGAAATCAGTTGGATGACCTAGGAACTGTTTCGCCACAGTATGGCACTCCTCAGCAGTACGCACCCACAAATCCGCCGCACTAGGGACCGAACTCAGGACCTTCAGGTCTCACAGTGAACGCAATGACCATTCAGCCACTGAGTTGGAATTCAATAGTTTGCAGTTTCCAACTTCTGTCAATTAACGATCTAACGTGGCTATCCACCAAGTTCTTCGGCTGCCATCTGCTTCGCTTCAAATAATTTGACACTACAGGTCACGGTTAGTCATTAGAACTTCGGGATATCTACCTCGAAACATATCACTGTTGAGGAATATGCAGTAACATATAATACAGGTTAGTGGAGATTTTAATCTAAAGGTAGTCTTCAACGCGAATTGATGGAAGTAGGAAACTATGGACCATAGAATTTTGACCCAGTAGCTGAATGATAAACACGTTCTCTGCGAGTCCTGAAGGTCTTGAGTCCGGTCCCTGGAGAGGCGGAGTCGTGGGTGCGCACTGCTGAGGAGTCACGTACTAGGACGAAACAGTTGTCGCGTGCTCCCAGATTTTCAATGGTTTGTGATGAATACCACCTTAAAATTACTATCGTTATTATTACCATCTTGATCATTACTGTCTGCATAGTTTAAAACCTTGTTACAGCAGACTGAAGATTCCGCCATGACTAGACTAGTATTGAAACTAGGTGATTATAGGAGGTGAAATAGAAATTTAGACCGCGGCCGGAATTGAAGCAGCAACCACCGAGTTTCCGGCCCGATAGTCTACCAACTGAGCTATGGGGTTCGACTGCTGACCACATTTTTATCTCACTTCAATCACCAGTGGTTTTGCCCGACCACCATGTGAATCTGTGATGCGTTACCATCACCTGATCGTACTTATGCTGAATGCTTAGTCAGAACTTCTCATCTCAATCAAAATATAAACGAATTCACATGGTAGTCGGACAAAACCCTTGGTGATTGAAGTGAGATACAGTGTGGTCAGCGGTTGGACCTCGTAGCTCAGTTGGTAGAGCACTTGGCAGGAAACCCAGTGGTCACTAGTTCAAACCTGACCACGGTCTAAATTTCCACTTCACCTTCACTGATCACCGAGTATCAAAAGTATTTATACGGGAGTGAATCCTGAGTAGATCTAATGGGAAAAAAAATACTGTTCGCTTAAATATCTTGTTCTCACGATTTACTTTAGTATGAACATGATTTCAGCTGTCGTGAACGAAATGTAAAGAAGACGTTACTTTTCGACAAAATGAATAAGGACAACAGATTTCACCATCATTGGGAAAACAGTATCAAAGATGCTTATAAAAAATAGGTTGGAAGTGAAAGTCGTATCTGATAATGGCGTGTATCATTATATGAGGAATACGCATAGTTGACTTCCTCTTCTGATCAACCGAATAAATATCAAAGTTCTCATCTTTTGTTGACTTAGTTATGTGATATAGCTTCAGTGCGGAAGACTGGACATAACATAAGAGTATGATGATTTGCGTTTATGAAAATGTTTCAACCAGAAGCATCTATATAGCAATCGCATGTGTGCTAAAACTAAACTGTATCCTTATGAGACGGCAGGTTGGTGAATGACTGGAGTTCAGATTGAGAACATTGTTTACTTTGATGCCTCTAGTGTTTAGTGATTTTTTATGCTGATCTAACAGTGTTCAGAAAGACGGCAGGTAGGGGAGATAACTTATCTTGAATTTAGGTGTATATACTCTATGCTTCTAGATTGTGCATTGGTTTGTATACTGGAATGTGAAAGAAGACTCTTAACCACTTTTTTAATCATTTCATTTTATCTGAGATTGGCTTTGAAAAGATTCTTCCCCTAAAATAACAGCCTTCTGCCTACTTGTTATCCTGGAAATGAAATGATGTAATGCAGCTTTTTTCGCTTGTACAGGTTGATGCATTAGGCAATGAACCTCAGTAAATGTATCATGACTCATAATACTACCTGGACGCAGAAAATTCAGTCAATGCAGTGAGATTTGAAGCTAGGACACATAATTTAAGGTCAGATATTTAAGGAAACAAGCCACACCATGATCTTATAGACATCAGAGTAAATTATATTTAAAGACGATAACCAATGCTTAAGGTTAATTCAGCAGACACTTAGAACTTATAGATTCTTCATATCACTGATCCTCACTCAGTAAGCTTCACATTACAGATCAGAAAGGTTGTCGTGCCTATTGCTAGGTGTTTGCTGACTTCTCTGTATATCTAAATTGGTGTGATTAGATACAGTAAGCGTTTCAAACTATGTGACTCTAGTCAGTTGACCGCTAATTGGATAGTTATGGTTAACATTCCCAATGTTATTGGGCTTTGTCGTTATCAATCAGCAGAGTTTTAATTGGGAGGAAATCAGTGAGCAGTGTTAGTGTAGTCTTCTCGAAGTGAGGATTATAGTTCCTTAATTATCGCTTGTATAAGCAACTTTTACTTGTTCTTATTATTATTATTATTATTAAATGTGTCCATGGAACCGAAGTTAAGCCATCTCACAACAACTTGAATAGGTCTCCAGAAGACTAGTATTCTTTATTTCTATATATCATACTGTCTATCAATGTATATTGTTCAGTGAATTGTTGTTCGTTGAACTAAGTGATCCACTTTTTCAATGCCTTCTGCCAAACAGTTTTCGACAGGCTTCTGATTTAGCTTATGTTTAAGTAATGGCTTTCACTAACAATACTTACGCATATGTCATGTAAAAGCCGAACTTCTGTTGTTGTTGTTGTTAAAGTATTTAGAATGTGATTGACTTTCAATGAAGAGGCTAATTGTAAGTTGGTTGGAGGTAATCGGCAGGAAACCGTGGACCTAGGTTTCATGCTTATTCACGCTTGTCA